AAAGCAGTTAGACTGTTCAACGTTAGACTAACATTTAAAAGATAAAATATATATTTTTATAATGAAATATCATATTGAAATTTTAAAGGATGATATTTTTGGTATAAACTATATGTATTAGTTAAAATAGTCTAACTATCTAATCATTAAACTAACTTGCCAACTGAAGACTGCCAATTATATTATAACCAAACCTAAAATTTTGTGGTTATATATATTAAATAGTTATATACCAATGACAAAATTTTGCTCATACATTTTTTTAAATCAAGATGACATGCAAGTTACTATTATAGTGCTATGTTCGCTCGATTTAAAACATAGTGTGACTTACGTTGTTGTGATTGACCTGTGAGAAATTATTATTATTATTTTATTTAAAAAATAATAAATACATGAAAATGCCATTTAAAAATTTAGGCACAGGCCACAGGGCATTTTATCTTATCCAAAATTCCAATTCGACCCACACAATCTTCACCCTCAAACTTTTTGTTCACTTATTTTTTTCTACACAAAATAAATTAATTTGTCTTCTTCTTTCTTCACAGCATTACGTACGCAAACGGTCCATCTCCAGAGAATATACAGCAAAACTCATATATAACAAAAATACAATTCAATATCTCAGTTTTCATTATATATATAAATTCTGATGAGTGCATGTTTTCACTCTCCAACTCGGCAGCGATCCACTGAGCCAACTCGGACGCCATTGAATTTCTCTCAGTACCGTGAACTTCTCTCTGCATTCCCCACGCTTTAGCTCGGAGGCACGACTCGGCGACTGGAATTCGTCGCGTTGAGGACATTGAATAAAATGGTAATTTTCCGGCAGACGTAGCCGGAGCTCCGGCCGGCGCGGTGCAGGGAAATGTGGTGATTGAAGGCAAAATTGGTGAATATGTTCAAGCCGGGGCGATGGTGGAGCGAGAAGAACAGAATCAAAGTCCATTTCAAGCTGCAGTTTCATGCATCTCAGGTGCTCTGAACTTTGCTTGTGTGGTTCAGTCTCTGCATTTTTGTTTTTGTTTTTCTTTGTCTGGTCGTGAAAAAGGTCATCGAGTAATCAGTACTGAATTTCTTGTCTAAAGTGAGAATTTTGTGTTTGGATGAGTGAGAGCGTATTGTGAGGCACTCTTGGTGCTGATTGATCATTTATCAATGGCAATGCTAATGATTTGGGGCTATTTTCGTTGAAAAGGATAAAAATGAAAGAGTATAAGTGCAGGTTATGCAGGTTGGAGGAGATGGATTTATGGTTTCTGTTATTCCTGCTGAATCTGGGAAGCCGAGTGTGAAATCGGACAAGGCCATGGTTCGAAATGGAAGCTGTTACTGGGAGAAGCCCATATTCGAAACCATAAAGTTCAATCGTGATCTGAAAACGGGGAAGATTCACGAGAGGCTGTACTACTTTGTTGTAGGCACGGTATGATCTTTTTTCTTTTTACGAAGACATTTTTTTTTTTTTATTCTTAGTTTCCAAGTGATTTGTTTGTGGTTTTAATGCTTTTTTTGGTGTGTTTCCAGGGTTCATCTAAATCTGGAGCTGTTGGAGAAGTTTCAATTGATTTTTCGAACTATGCTGAGGCAACCAGTGTCTCATATGTGTCTCTCCCCCTTAAGAATTCAAAATCAGAAGCTATGTTGCATGTGAGTGCATTAATGTTATTGGTTCTCCCTTTCAAACCTGCACCTGCATAAAAATCTCTTGCAGTTAATGCAATTTTTTTTGGGCAATGCAAAATATATCCCGCAATTAATGGAGGTGTTTGATTTCCTTCTTTTATTTATTGTGTTGATCTGGTATTTATGTTTGAACAGGTGTCAATTCAAAGGATACACGATTCTGTGGATGAAAGGTGAAGATGAATACTCTATTTATAAAGTTTCTATTCAACATCGTGTAATAGTTTGAGAATGTTTATGAACTTTGTTCTGCTCCTCACAGAGAAATCGAAGAACCTGAGAATGTGAAATTGGATTCTGTAGAACAGGCGTTGAGCTTACAGCTAGGCGAGCTTGATACAAATGAAACTATCACAACTGATTCTACAGATGTAATCTCATGGCCCTCAAACAATGCTTTTTCACTTTTTGTGGAGTGTTTGCAACATGAAAAGAAGAAGAAGAAGAAAAAATATAAATAAATAAGCGGTCTTGCCCATCGAAGCTGATAACCATTTTTCAGTTTTAGTGTTTGCCAACACTCCCTTATAATCAAGCAGTTTTTGTATTGTATCTTGTTTGCCCACTGGAGACTGATAAAGAATTTACTGTGAACTTTCCAATTTCAACAGGATACGCCATTTAATAAGCAATTCTCCCCTCCTGAAGAAGTAAACACGAAACACCTGGCATCCAGCGGATCAGATATCACACTATCAAGTTCCGAGGGAAGCTCGGGAATCGAAACACAATGGGAACTCCACATGAACAACAATGATAACAGTACTTGTCAGGATCCGAAATTTGGTGGGCCCACACCAATGTACAAAGATCACCTCACATCATGGGATTGGCTAGATAATAATCCTACAGATGATATTTTAAACAATCCAAAAGAAGAAATTTTTCTAGAGCAAGAAGACTCTTACTCAGAAGAGTCCCCAGATAATTTGGTACAGAAGCTGAAAGCTGACGTCTCATCTCTATCCCGTCAGGCAGCCATGTCCGAACTGGAACTTCAGACTCTTCGTAAGCAGGTCGTGAAGGAAAGCAAAAGGGGCCACGACCTATCTCATGAAATCGCTTTTTTAAAAGAAGAAAGGGATTCGTTGAAGGGAGAATGCGAAAATCTCAAAGCATCCCTCCACAGACGAACAAATGGCGCACGATCTGATTCCCAGGCAGCAGTCATTGAGGAACTCAAGCAAGAACTTAACCACACCAAGGAACTAAATGCCAACCTCCAAATCCAACTCCAGAAGACTCAGGAGTCGAACGCCGAGCTTATTCTCGCCGTTCAAGACCTCGATCAGATGCTCGAGCAGAAAGACAGAGATGATAGAAATGATGGTGACGAAGAGCAAAAAGCGCTGGAGGACCTCGTGAAGGAACATGATAACGAATCAAAGGAGCCGTACCTCATGGATCAGCAAATCATCGACCTTCTTGGAGAAATCGAGATCTACAAACAAGACAAAGACGAGCTCGAGGTCCAGCTGGAGCAGCTGGCGCTCGATTACGAGATCATGAAGCAGGCCAATCACGACCTGTCGAGCAGACTCGAGCAGAACCAGATTCACGAACAACTCAAGATTCCGTACGAGCTCGAGTCCCACATCGAGACCCTCGAGAACGAACTCAAGAGACTTTCTAAAGATTATACGGACTCGTTCGCCAAAATAAGCTCTCTCGAGGCACACTCGAGAAACTTGGAGGAGGAGCTCGAGAGGCGAGCGCGGGGATTCGAGGAGGATCTTGAAGGGCTCACACAGGCCAGAGTCGAGCAGGAACAGAGAGCCATACGAGCAGAGGAGGCGCTGAAGAGGATGAGGTGGAAGAATGCAAACACGGCAGAAAGGCTTCAGGAGGAGTTCAGGAGGCTGTCGGTGCAGATGGCTTCCACGTTCGAGGCCAATGAGAAGCTCGCGACCAAAGCCATGGCTGAGGCGAACGAGCTCCGTTTCGAAAAAGTCCGCCTGGAGGAAATGCTGAGATTGGAAATTGAGGAAAAGGGGGCAGAATTGGAAAAACAGAGAAAGAACGCCGAGGATGCTCAGAGACTACTCTCGGACGAGATTTTAATGCTGAGGGATGAGACTGAAGCACATGTGGCGAAGAATGTAATTCTTATGGAAGAGATTGAGGATAAGAAAAGGTTGATGCGCGAGGTGGAAAGGATGAGAGTATTGGTTAAGGAAAATGAGTTGCTCGTCGAGCAAGGGAATGATGAAAAGGCTGAGCTGGAGAATAGGGCGGAGGAGTTGAACAAGGAAGTGGATGAGATGAGGTGTCTTCTGAGCGAAAAAGAGACTGTAGCGGAAAATATGAAGACCGAGCTAGGCATGATTCGATCTCAGTGTGAAGAGCTGAAGGAATCTCGACTGCAGGATGAGGTGGAGAAGGAGAAATTAAAGAAGCAAGCGATGCAGTTAAAAAGTGATCTTAAGAAAAGAGAGGAAGCATTGATTAGCATGGAGAAGAAGTTAAAGGATGGCAGTGGCCGAGGAATGAATGTTGATGCTGTTAAAACTAATTCGAAAACTAGCAAGCCTACTGCCCGTGTGTCCAAAGAGGTTGCGAGTCTCAAGGAGAGAATAAAGTTCCTTGAGGTAAAACCGGAACTTCATTTCTTTTTGGTAGACCTAAGGAAAATGAGACATTATTATTAAAAGAAATTGATCCCGGAGAATGATAAAGTTGGAAAATGCCTGAATAAGCATGGTTACGGGTAATTTTGACTGTGGCGATTTCTTTTATAAAATTCTTCATAACTGCTTCAAAGTATGTCAAATGTGTTAAATGGTGCTACAGAACTTGAAACTGATTTTCCAATTTTACATTGTTCGACAGAGTCAAATCAAATCAAAGGAGACTGATCTAGAAATCTCGGCTACTGAATTTCTAGACAAGGAAAAGGATCTTCACAACAAGATTGAAGAGTTAGAGGGGAGACTACGAGTATTCCAAAGGACTGATCATGAAGTTGAAAAGGTTCAAATAGTTGTAGTTTATTCCTACACGCTAAATAGTTGCATTTAGTCTAGGTTCTGAAAAAACTTTCGTATGTTTATCAGAATTTTCAGGAATACAGAGACAAAATATCGAGTACGACGAGCATAAACCGTGAAAAGAGGTACGGTTTTTATTCCGATGTTATAACTAAAGTCACATTCGAGGAAAAGAAATAATTAAATAAAAAATTTCCAAGCTAAATTTGGGTGCATGTGCAATTATTACATGCAGCAATGGTTTATTAGAGGCGCAGATAGATTCCACGACAAATACCACGTTTGTTGAAGAACTAAATGACCAAATGACATTGCTGAAGGAGAAAAATAAATCAATGGAAGATGATCTAAAGGAAATGCAAGAGAGGTATTTGGACATAAGCCTCAAGTTCGCAGAGGTCGAGGGCGAAAGGCAACAGCTCATAATGAAACTACGTAATCTCACGAATGGAAACAAATAGACCATAAATATTTGATAAATGCTGTTCAGATCATCATCAGTTACTTGGTAAGTTAAGCAGCCCGGAGCCTCGATAACTTGATATTCATGAGTTTATTTGCAATTGCATTGCAGAATAAATGTTTTTGTAAATTGCTGAAAATATATGCTTGCTCCTAAGGTCACATATTTCTTGATTCCTTCATTTCATTATATTTGTGATATATATAAGATCAAAACCATGAGCCTTTTTTACCCTGTTGTGTGATGTGCATGAAGAACTACTATTTCTTTTATTCATAGCTTAGTTCTCTATCTTTCC